GAGAGACAGAGGGAGAGAGAGAGAGAGGGAGACAGAGAGGGAGAGAGAGAGAGCGAAGGAGAGAGAGAGAGAGAGAGAGGGAGAGAGGGAGAGAGGGAGGGAGAGAGAGAGAGGGAGAGAGCGAAGGAGAGAGGGAGGGAGAGAGAGAGAGGAAGAGAGAGAGGGAGAGAGAGAGGAACGTACTTGTGTGTTAGATTTGAGCGAGATGCTCAGTAACCGACGGCAACGCAACAATGCCACACGACCACTGGTGAGTCTGTCAGCGAGTGTGTGTGTGTGTGTGTGTTGTTTCCTGAATGTCACATCATTTTGGATGTCTAATCTAACCCGTGATGCATTCAGGTGCTGAAATGTTTAACAGAAAACATCAGGTTTGGAGTTTTTATATTTGTGCATGTTGTGTGTTTATTTGTGCGACACTACACACACACACACACACACACACAGTCCGAACATAGTTTCAGACCGGAGTCTTTCTGCAGCAACATGTGGACACCTGAGGAAAAGATAGATGTTTTTATTTCTGCAGCTTCATGTATTCATCACATTTCCCCAGAATACATTAAGCTTTGTGTGTGTGTGTGTGTGTGTGTGTGTGTGTGTGTGTGTGTGTGTGTGTGTGTGTGTGTGTGTGTGTGTGTGTGTGTGTGCGCAGCTAAAGGGCAGACAGTCCGTCTGTCTGGAAACAGAAGCCAGCAGCGTCTCCCTGCTGCTGCTGTTGTTGTTGTTTATGATGTTGTTGTTAATGTTGTTGTTGTCGTCCTTTTCATCTTTGCGCCGTTGATGACACAGTGACACATTTGCCAGCCGCTGGTTTAATGAGCCTCCTGACAGAGGACAGAGGACAGAGGACAGAGGACAGAGGACAGAGGACAGAGGACAGAGGACACGGCTGCAGGCGCTGGACCAACAGAAAACTCAGTGAACACAGGTTCATTACGTTGATGCGGAGCAGCTCTGACACAGTGTCAGCAGCGCCTCCTGCAGGCCGCACTCGTCATCACAGCTCAACTCACACTGAGTCAGGTCGGACCTCACCGGCAGGACTGTGTTTCCAAACTTCCAAACATTTCTCCACAGTGACCGTGTTAGAATATAATTATTCATTTAATAACCACGATACAACACGGCTCCTGACATCAGAGTCATCAACACACAACTCCACACCTCTCTAACACTGCCAACGTTTCATCATCATCATCATCATCATCATCATCATCATCATCATCATCATCATCATCATAACCCCCCCAAACACACACACACACACACACACACACACAGGTTCACATGAAGAAGTCCGTCATGTGTTAGTTCAGTGTAACAGAAGAAAACAACTTGTTGGGTCAAAGGTCACACTGACAGTTCACTCTGGACTTTGGAAACAACTCAACTCAAGGGTCACTTACTTTACTGTTCTGGAACTTTCACACAAAGAGTTGAGAGTTCTTTGTCTTTCACCAGGAGTGTGGCTGAAGCGTCTTTGTCTCAGTGTTGTATCAGAGGTCTCACCTGTCTCCATGTCTCCCTGTCTCCATGTCTCCCTGTCTCCATCTCCATGTCTCCCTGTCTCCATGTCTC